TTTTATTTTTTTTCAAATTGCCCAGATTGTGTAAATGAATGTCATTACAAATTAATAAATGTTTCGCATACTTTAAAAAAATATAAATAAAATGTAATAAAACTAGAAAAATTTTATTAGGTATTAGAAAACATTTGATATCCCAGAGTTTGAAATTTTTAAACCAAATATTCTAGGTTCAAATAAGAGAACATTTTCAAACATTAATATTATATGATCAAAAACATTTCCAACCATTGTCTTTTGTACTATATTGTATTCAAACAACAGTAAAAAAAAAAAATGGTTACTCATGGATAACAGGTGTAAAATTTTAATACATTGATTTTTTATTTAATTACAGTTTCCGTAGTCCGCTTTTATTTCAAATGAATACAGATAAGAGCTTTGAGAATGAAATGGATTCATTATCATTCAGCATTTTTCATATAATGAAGTTTCCAAAGTAAGTACTTTATCAGTACAGAAACAAATTGTTCCTCTTAGAAATACCATAAACATTTTCTCTTTCTCATACACTATAATATGTGTATTATAATACACGTTATACTTTGTACTCTGAAAGTTAATACTGTATATCATATAAAGCAGTTTGCAATAGACTTTTCTCTATAATACATGATGCCATTTTTTTTTCACAGATTTGTTGAGAGTTCTTGCTAGCTGTCCCCACGAAGTTACAAAATGTAAGTACATTTAGATTTTACTTCTATTACCGAAGTATGGTGGAATTTGTAAAAGAAATACCAGTTGGTGGAAGTTTCGAATTCCAGGTGGCAGGTAAACATTTTTTTGATTTTGCAAAATAATTCATTTGAGCTTAACCATGCGCATATTCTCGCTATAGGTAAACACGAATGTTTATAACACTGTGGTATTCTCAAGTCACCTGATTTCCCTCAGGAACCGCATAATAACACGAGAGTCACCATAAAGCGTTTTGCGTCGCATCGATCTGAATATTTCGACCTCGGCTGAGTTTAAAGAAAAAAAAATCTGGATAAAATTAATCACAGTAAAAAAAAAAAAATATGTTGGTCAAACAAAAAGCAATAAAGACGCCTTTCTGGAGAGTTATCATTTTCATGGACAGTTTAGGCATTGTTGTTGTTTTTTTATCTATTATTTTGTATTTTCACAAACATTGTATTTTGATGGTACAATGAGAAAATTTCTACTATATATCAGACATAGTTTAAACAGTAAACTGTCACAGATATCACTCGCTTCTGACGCTAGACAGTTGGGGTGGCTTAATTAATGAGTTTTCTTTGGTCGAAAGAGGTGCTATAGAGAAATGAGGAAAAACAGGCAAGTTTACTAAGGTAACGTTTTCCAAACAAATTTGCTTATACGACAATAGTTCAAACTGATTGCTAGTATTTCTGTGTTCCCTAAGTAAAGTATACTACATTATTTATTTACTGTGACATTAATTAACAGTCTTGATCACACTGCTTTTAATATATCGAATATCATTACTTTTTATATTGATAACCCCGTGGCTGATTGGGCATATAACGCTAAAAATCGGTTTTTAATACCTGCAGTGGACTGAGCACAAACTGCCCATTCTGTAGCTTTGTAATTTACAACAACAACAACAAAAATCATTATTTATTACTATACATTTATTATGAAATTTGTTTTGCATTCTTAGCTTAATATATATATTTAGAACTAGCCTAAATCTCCTAAGCTGGCCGAACCTCATGAAATATTATTGGGATCGCAGTAAAAAAATATCGTTAACAGCGAGGGTCCCTAATGATGAAACAATGCATTCTACTATTTATAAGTAGAGATGTAAGAAAAATATATTAAATTAGTTGTGCTGAATGCAAAGTTCATTTTTAGTTTCACTTTAAACACATAGCTTGCTCTGATCGGAAGTTAATTTTAATACAAATACATATGTCAAATCAATATCTTTTATCATTATTTCATGAATTTTAATCTCAATCAGTTAACATTATCAGACCCATTTGTTTCAAATCGATGCACATGTTGTATGCTTTGTTTTATTGAATTCCAAAATAAAAAATAAAAAAATTGCTGGATGAAATAGTTTGAGACTTCACAAAAACTTTCTATGGATTATGTAGCTTCTAAAATATCATATTTTTATGTGCGATATTTGTAAAAATTCACTGCTTTGAAATGTCGAAAAAATATTTCTTTGTAATATCTATTTTTAAGAAATAAAATTATTGTGTATTTCATTTTTTCTATAATTTCCTGTGAAGTCGCTATATTATGAAACTATATGTATGTTATCTATGTTTGGTTCGAAAAATACCGCACGAAGTTTTACTGTCATACAATAAAATAACAATTTTACCATACGAAAATGATAAAAAATGCCAACATTTTAAAAT